GACGAAAGACAACCCTAGCCCATGCAGTAACCATCAAAGAGCCAATATTCAGACCAGAAGACTTCTCAACATGGAAAAGRCWTCGTAGAGTGACTGCCTATGTACTACGGTTTATCCACAACTGTAGAAAGAAAGTTAACAACACAAAGATGTTAGGTCCATTAGCAGCACAAGAGATCGCAAATGCAGAAGACTACTGGATYAGAAGAGCACAGATAAGCATCCACAAGAGAGTAGAAAAGGGAGAATTGTCCAACCTAACACCAATTAAGGATGACAATGGAATCATCAGAGTTGGAGGACGAGTAGACCCTAGTCTCACGTCATACGACAACCAGCATTCAGTATTACTACCAAGTGATCACTGGATATCAAAGCTTATYACTCGAGATGTACATCAGTATGGGCATCCAGGTATTGCAACGACAACAGCTAAAGTCAGAAAGAAATACTGGATCATCAAATGCCACAGTATCTYCAAGAGKGTAAAACGAGAATGCACGTTCTGTAAGAAAATGGAAGCAAGAGTTTCAGGGCAGTTTATGTCAGACCTACCACAAAGCAGACAACAGCCCTACACCCCACCATTCATGTACACGTCATGTGACTACTTCGGTCCTGTCAMAGTAAAGGTTGGCCGGAACAAGACAGCAAAACATTATGGAGTGATTTTCAYGTGTTTGAACACTCGAGCCGTACACTGTGAACTTGCAACAGAGGCCAGWTCTATGGAGCTTCTTCAGGTGCTAAGGAGGTTCTTTGYGCAACGAGGTTATCCCAAGTTTTTGTTGTCTGATAACGGTACTCAGATGGTAGGAGCAAACAGAGAATTAAAGGAGATGATTGATGGTTGGGATGCCACACAGCTCAAAGAGTATTGCGCTGACCGAGGAATGACATGGCAATTCATCACTCCACTTGCCCCTCATCAAAACGGATGTGYGGAGTCCATGGTAAAGAGTGTAAAGAAAGCTTTAAAGAAAGCCATTGGAGACACGGTACTCACTGTTGTACACTTGTCTTTTAGAAGCAGCTAACCTAGTAAACCAAAGACCTATTGGAAGAATACCGAATGATCCTAATGATGGGTCTTACTTGTGTCCGAATGATATTCTACTTGGTCGCTGTTCCAGTACAATTCCTCAGGGTCCATTCAAAGAAACGAGAAACCCAAGACACCGCTTTGAGTTCTGTCAAAGAATCATCGACTCATTTTGGAAGMCATGGTMTAGAGATGTATTACCKGCACTCAACCAGAGAAAGAAGTGGCAAACAAAGAACTGCAATGTCGAAGTCAATGACTATGTTGTATTCATCAAAGATGATAATGATGTACGYGGCAAATGGAACACTGGAGTCAATGAAGAGGTATTCCCTGGCACCGATGGACTGGTTCGCAACGTGAGTGTACATACAGCTGACGGTATCTACAGACGCCCAGTCACCAAGATTTCAGTGATCTACCCCATCGAAGGACTTTAGTCAAAGTTATGGAAGTAATGCGGATTCCCCCATTGTGTGGGGGTAATGTTTCGTTTACTTTGGGCTACCTGTGGACTCGCGCATGCACAGAGAAAAGAGTTTATGTATCGTTTGAAATCGTAGTTACTGTTAAAAATATGTGATTTTAAGGACAAATACAAGATTATGTTGCTGGACAAATGTGAGTCAACAGTTTATKAATATATTTATGTGATTTTGAAGTAATATATATGCAGTTTTTCTGATTATAGACTGTTATAAGTAACTTTGTAATCTTGTATTTGGCTTCAGATTATGTCGCAATAAATTCTGAAACCAGCAATAGTATCGTCTTATTGTATCCTTTATAGCTTTGAAAATTTCCTTAAAACTCGCCAGCCCATATGGTTTAAATGTTTTCCGAGAACCTCCTGACAAGATTTCCATAACTGGACTGCATGATATGAATGTATGAGCCAAACAGATCCCTGTTTAAACAGAATGTGCCCAGCTGAAATTTCCAGAGTTTKTTATGAACAATGATTCCATATTTGTTTGTTCTGGATCATGAACGTTCTTGTGAACTTTTAGGGAATTAGTMTCTCACACAAAAAGCCAAGATTTTTAATTTATACCCTACAAGATTCACCTTCAGTGAATAGAGATAAAAGCTGCTGGTATTGCCCCTCCCTTGATTGCCCTTATGTGGGATATAGAATTATGCTAAATATTTTGTACACTTACATTTAATACAATAAGTATGATAATGTGGATTATTTACATTCMATTTCACTACTCCAACACAAGTATGTCGTATTTAAGTTTTGTTATATCTTGTTTGGAATTAAGTTTATGTACCTTTGTGTGCAAAGCTCCAAATAAAATGTGTATGTATGTTGTGAATGTTCATGTCTTGTCAGAAATTAGCAGGGAGGGACGAGGTTGGAAACATGGTGAGGGGCAAAAGACCCTAAAAAGGGGTCCACGAAAAATAAGTTGACTCAATCAAAATGTGAGGTTGTTTGCACTCAGTATTAACAAATGATAAGAAAACACAAATGATAAGAAAACTAAGTGTTTTGTTTGCCTCAAATATAACAATACAGCATGCCAGATAAATAAGTACTATTTATTTAATAGGTTATAACATGCAGATTACAAGAAGGTGAGTCATGATGTTTTATGTTAGGTCCAAGAGGTGGGTGGGCAACTTTTAATCAGGTCACTCCATTTCCAAAAGAGAGGGACAATAGGAGAATAATGTGTTACAATTTGGTTAATTATATCATTAGCAATATTAGACACTTTCACAGTGCCTACTATATGATTGGCGATATTAAGGAAACCCATAAGGACAGTCATATTGAAGAACTAGCAGAAATAAGTAATAGGCGATTTGCATTAAGCGATCACGTGATCTAATCCGCCATTTTGGCTGGTCRCGCGACAATTTTTGGCATGACAGGAATGTAAACAAAGATGGCGGAGCCGGCTTTTTTGACATCAAATCAAAGGTGAGTTTTAGTACTTTGTACGCCAAAACATTATTTTTTTTTCCACTGAAAAAACTGAAGAAACGTGTATTCTGCTGGATTTTGACATAAAATGAATATGAACTTTAAAAAAGTCATGCTTTTGCATTCAAAATTGACAGCATATGTGAGGACTGAGATCGCGATAGCTATCGCTATTCCCGGAACTTTGATTGCAAAT